CAATGTGGACAAAATGAGTGCACAAACTGTTGAAAGAGATATAAATTTGTTGAGAATAATAACAACCGAATCATTAAATAACGGGTAGTTTAATCTTTTATGATTTTTGCCTCAAAACTTGTTCTAAATACAAATAAAGGGATTTGTTTCATACTGACTTCTTTATCAATTTGTAACATATTTGAAGAAATCTGTCATGTAATCCATTCGGAAGTTCAAAACAAATCATTTGTAGCAATAACCAATTCAAAAAAATATTTTAATAAATGTATAGATATATATATAAAAGTATATTATTAAAATTGTCATATGCACAGAATTGTGCCAAAATAAAAAACAAAATTTTTTTCACACTATCAGACCCTTTAGTATTATATCAATATTGCAATAAAGTCATTATACATTATCTTGAAAACATCTTAAAAGAACAGAAAAGACAAAACACAATATTGCTAATTTCTTTAACTATCGTTTCCTTTTTTTGTTTTTAGACATGCATAATATATTAACTATGATAAAAGTCCATGTTTGTCCTGCTATTAAACGTCGAAACTGGTGATTTTCCCATGGGTCTTTGAAAAGAAAATAATCAAAAAGGTCTGTGGTCAAATTTCGGGACGCTATAAAAAATATATCCGAACATTTCCTAACATAATTTAAGGCTATTGTTGTAAAATATTTATACTGGTCAAAAGAATAACTCTCTTTGTGCGCATGCATTGTTCTTCTTTTACTTCCGGGTAATCTGAGTTTAGTGTAAGTGGTAGTAATGTTCTGTAAATGCCCGGAATTCGTCAAACATATGTAACAATTTGATGTCGAGTTCTCGAGTTAAGAAGAAAAATGTGAAATTTCATATTTTGATTGAAAACCGATGTTAAGAATATTTGAGATAATGTGTGTATACATGAGTATGTGGTTATATTGTTTAATAAATGTTTAGCAAACGGATGTACAGTAGCCAAACCCAGAGACAGTATCATCATATAAAATTAAATATATAAAATCATCATAAAATATATTGACTATAACTGCTCATCTTATTGGACATAATTTCAAAACTTATTTTCTGTTTCAATAAGAATTTAGGCCATGTGAAAAATTTAACTTATTATTTTGAATTATCTCTAAAAAATATTAAACAAGAGTTTGAAAACCGTTTACCAATTAGTTCCAGTAGAATAATTAGGTAAGAAATTAAGATATAATTTTATATTAATTATCATACACCAGAATGTGTTAAGTATTATTTATATATACAAATCTGTTCCAAGGGGAAATCTGATTTCTACATTAAAATATTATATTATTTTCACAGACTGGCATGTCTAAATAGTATCCTTAATTCTTGGCTGGTCTGAATATTATCCTTACTTTTTGACTTGTCTGTATATTATATTTAATTAATTTAAGGAACGTATTGTTTTGTTATTTAAATGTGTCTGCATTCAATCTGATTCTTCGCTGTTGAATACTCTAAGTCCTGAAAATAATATTGATGTAGAAGTGTAATTCATTTCGGAAAACAATAAGACTTTTAGACTTCCTCCTACAAAGAAGATGTTGAATCAAATGATTGAACAAAACTCCACAAGGTAACAAAATATAATAAAGTTGTCACCAAAAATATAAATATAATGATTTTGCGAGATCAATTTAAAGAGGTTACGTCGTTAAGTGACAAACAGTAATCATTGTCAGATTTAGAAATTGGAACTTCTGAGATTTAGACAATTGTTTCATAGTAATTTATCCGTTGGGGTATTCTAGAACTTTTCCCCGCGAACTTTGGTCCGTTCTAAGTTAAGCTTCCTACAAACTTCTAATGTCGTGGCCGGCTGTACAATTTCGCGAAGATCTGGAGCTCATCTTTTGGTCAATTCAAGGAAATTAATAGTAATCTCAGATATTTTTTGCCTAGAAACCTTTAAATAACATTTCTTGTAAAGACAAGCTAATGGAGTCCATAGCTAAAATAATAAATACAAGTCAATCAGTTTATTTTCTATGGTTTGTATAGGAAGAGTTTTGAAGTAGAGATCATTGCTTTTATTTGTTTATCTCGCTGCTTGACATTTTCAACTGTCTGATTAAAAATGAAATTTAATACCAACTATTTTTCTTCACACTTGTTCAAATCCAAACATCTTCATTTTACACGATATTCAACTTGAATTGATGGAAACAATTTCAATGGGACAGATTTCAGAAGGATTAAGTTTGTATGTATGTACACATTTTTGCGGTAGTGAACACGGCGGCGCGGAAGGACTGAATAAAAGGCACTAAACAGAATTTTTTAATGCCCTGAGAGATCGAAGCTCTTCCTTAATAAGTCTGTAATCTAGTGTACATGAATAAGCATTTCTACTTGTGTTTCAAAGCAGATATTCAATATTCTTTCATTAAGGATGTCTTATTAAACCTTTCGTCAGTCTTTTAAAAAAAAAAATAGCGCGGATACTGAACAGCTTTCAAAGTTTAGCTCACAATATAAAAACATTTTATTTCTCTGAAAACTGAAAACTGTTTTATCTTCTGAGAAATGCAGATTTGTTGGTTTATTAGAGAAATCAACCATCTGAAGAATAAAGACAAATTAAGCCATTAAATGGTAAATTTACTTTCATGTGTAAAAGATATTAGTTTTATGTTTTAGTAAATGTGCTAATTGGCGAATTTAGAGGTGTTTATAAGCCTATAATAATGACATTAAATTTTTACTTGTGTCAAACTATTTCTAGCTTTCACAGCAGGAAGCGAAGTAATTGCATTGCACATAAAATAGAATACAACTCTTGGATTGAGAGAAACTGTACAAGGTCAATATGATCAAAGACAGAAGTCATGTGAAAACACTTGGCTAGACTTTTTGGTGATTTTCGGGAGATTTGGCCGGATTTGACCTGGCTGTTCTTCACGTGTTAACTTTGATCAGAAAAGACAGATGTAAGGCCAGGGATATGTTTAATCATAACAGTCACTTGATGCGAAGTTTCCGGGTGGTGTCAACAGGGGGGGCCAACTGCTACTAAACCGCCCACGGTCATTTCTCTCCAGCTACCGACAATGTGCTAGTTAATAATTAGCACCGTGTAATTCCCTAGGCTAGTATATATTAATAAAATCCTGACTGTATTAGACATTGTATCCGTTCTGCATCTTTCTCTGATTTTAATACATATGAACATCCATACGGTAAAAATGTGACTGTAGGAGGTTTTACTGTCTGTTTAAAATATGTTATTACTTCAGATCAACAAAATTATTTTTATTACATTAAATATTATTTACTGTAAAGGGTTAAATTGATATGTAGATTGTCAAGTTGTGTGTAGAATGTAAGGTACAGGCCCGTAACTAGTTGGACGCCCCCTGGAAATGCATTTGCCGCCCCCCCCTCCCCCGCAAAATTAGAACACACATTGGGCTGGTTAAGGGGCTGCTAAGGTATGATTTCAAAATCCAAAAACAGGATATATATTTGCCATTAAGTTTGTTAAACTTTATTATGAAGGATAATGTAAAAAAAAGTATAAGGCTAAAAATATAAGTCACCACTGTATATTCTTTTCTGTTGAAAAAATACTCTGTCCGATTTACAGTTCACGTATTGGAGTCGTGTTCAAAATGAGCAGTTTCCAATATACAATTTTATATCATTAGATCTATTTGTATTGGTACATGTATTTGTATTTAATTTAAGTGGTTGTTCAAACGACATAAGTTTTATCTAAATCACGGTTTAAAAGAAACTTGAAAACTTCTGTGCTATTTTACACGTGATGTAATATGAGGCTATAAGTTTGTCGTTCTATAATGTGATCCACGTGTTGGTTGGTTATCTCACATTCGTTTTGAAAAATTAAAAGGAAAAGGAAAATGCTCTGAATCCAAGTACTGAAAATCTAAATATATACAAAATTCTTATAAAATGAATCACTATAACGGCTATGACCAAAGAAATGGACCGAAGTCAGAAAACATCAAGTGGCTAACAGGAGTGGAAATATTTACCTTCATTACTGAAGAATCTTTATAATTATTTCTCCTAATGAATAGTTTTTTACTGCGGTACTCCTGTCACGTGATATACTGGAAGCACGTGCACAAATAATAAATTTGTCTAATTATTTAGAATTGTGGAAGGTGAACGATTTTAAAGACTTTTCTAATTATCACCCACATCTAAAATAAATATTATAAACAGTTTGGTGTCGGGCTTTCGAAACCTTACCGATTTAACTTGGTTTAGATTTAATTCTCCTTCAATGTGTGTTCCGTATTCGCCCCAATATTTATTCAAATGATGTTAATAGGCAATCTCATTAAGTGTTCCATGTTTAAGGTATTAGGTTACTGTGATTTCTTCATGTTATTCAAGATGTCACTTTATTTATTTAAATTCACCTGTTATCCAGTGTGATGCTATTTTATTTTCGTTTTCTAAATTTTGTGTTGTAGGAATTTCAAAGTAAACAACAAATTAAACTGAAAGGTCTGAGAAACATGCTAGTTGTCGAATATTTTGAATAGTTTCAGTTAGTCAAAATATCCAATGCGAATTTGCAACTCGATGATGTTTAAAATCATTTCATTTACGATAATACAGAAATAATAAACGCAAATGGTTTAGGGCTACCGATTTCAAATCAAATGATTATGATGAAAACAATTTAAGCATTTTTTTATACTCACAATTTTCAGATTCAGATGAAAACAAGTTTCAGCAATTTCTACATCAGATTCTTGATTTCCGAAGGTGTAGAACTAGAAGACATAAAAATCTATTTCAAATCATCTATTCTTGTTTAAATTGATCTGAATATTTTTGCAGCAATATGTTTTTGGTGGCAGCCGTGATGCCGATTCTCTGATTTAAGAAAATTTATGTTTTGTTGACCTGCCTATTTTTACAGATCTTCAAAATATATGTCCGTTTAACATGATCAGTTTTTGTACTTTCAGATCCATCAAGTCCATCCTATAAATTGGATTTATCCAGTAAACCAAGAAAAGAAAGAACAGCTTTTAGTAAACATCAGATACGAGATTTAGAGAAGGAGTTTTCCGTCCATAATTATTTGACGAGGTTAAGACGATATGAAATAGCAGTTGCTTTAAATCTAACTGAAAGACAGGTACAGTTTCAAATTAGGCTTCTTGAAAAAACATATTGTGATTGCTCTCATCAAGCAATGGAAATTTTAACTCCAAAATGGATGTTTGCGAATACATTATGCAGAAAATGGAACACCAGAAAATAGACGTTGAGCAACATTTGAAGTGCGCTAAATCCTGCTTTTGATCAGATTCTCTCCAATGCCTTCAGTTGCTTTGTATGAGTCGCTTGAGGGTAATTTTGTATCCCGATACCAATACTATTTTAACCTATAAAATCGAGGTCGACCTGTCTCAACTGGATATTTTATATTTTAGGTCAAAGTTTGGTTTCAAAATCGAAGAATGAAATGGAAAAGAGTTAAAGGAGCACAACTTGTAAGAGATAAAGTTACAGGACAACTCAAACCATTAATGACACAATGTGTAACGTCGTCAGAAAATCCATTTGGTGACGTCATGAAGGAGACAACTATGTGTCGAGAACAGGATCCCGATCTCATAAAAGAAGAACCAAAGGATGGCAAACTATTATCGTAATGTTAAAAATGTTAAAACTGAACTGGTTGTGATTAATGCTTCTTATTAATATCGCGTTTATGTTCACTGGCGATCGAATCGAATTGTGTGAACGAACAGGGACATTACAAATTGTGCTAGTGATAAAACTAACCAACGAACATAAATACTGGGCACTGCGTTTCAGCTTACGTCCGTGAATTAGTGGAAAAACAGTGTACTTAAAACCTGAAATACCACACTACATGTGAGTGCGTTTTATATGCCGCGTATTATTCTTGGAAATTTATATTAAAAGATAAATTTGTGTCACAAAGAAGATTACGAACGATAAATCTTTAAATGAAGTGCCAGATCATTCAAAGGAAATAAAGTGCAATTTCTATTTTTTTACTGGGACATTTAAAGGAATAATTCAGAAAGTTAATTTAACTATCTTTGAACTAGATAATATATTGTCTACAGTACATCAGCACGTGCTGAACATATTTTAAATTTAAAGATGTATATAATAGTCTAATGAATCTAGTTCTAATGTTCAAACTGGTTTAGGATGTATAAATCTTTTGAAGCTTGTGATTTGCCTTAATCAAAGTATTTTGTATATATAATTGTTTATAAATAGTACATAACTTTATATAAAAATTACGTTTTTAAAAATGTGCTTGTGTCGCTTGAAGCTTCTTATAGTATGTAAAGTACCCACTTGATTTAGTTTCCAAAGTTTCATGGTTACTTCAAGAATAATGCTTTAATATTGAGATTTTTAAAAAATTATTTGTGTTCAGTCTGCACTCTTTCAAACCCCCTTCATTCTAGATATTTGGTATCCATCTCTTTGATTCTATCACAAAGGCAAATATACTTACATATTCATGTATATGCTTTAATATATGGACGAAATAACGCATTAATTTAACATTTAATTATTTGCAAAAATCAAAATATGCCAAGTAAAATGATGAACATCTACAAGCACTGATTCTTCATAGGTTTATTTTACATTATGATATTTTGTTAAACAAAACTATAACAAAACAATACATGTATCTCTTGATAGGAATATGGGATATGACTTTAAAGTCCAATGACTGGTAATTTAAAAATCATAATATTATATATTTATAATATATTCAACTAATAAATGATAAATATAAATAACAAGTTATAAGGACGGAATGAATCATTGGATATATTTACTACAATATTATATAACAGTTTGATCAGATCTATCAATAATAAAACAAAGGTATACTTTAACCATGTATATTTCCTGCAAAACTTTCTCAATGCCTGGAAAACCATAAACAAATCTACATAAGCGTGACAAAACTTGAAAATATCATTTTGATAACATGGATTACATTTCTTTATTTCACTTAATTGATTGCTGGGGAAAACTTCAATAATTGTTCTATGAAATTTCTGATACATCTTATATGAAATTATAATACAGAAATTGTGAAGATGCAAAAAATTCAATAAGATAAAAATACAGCCTCTACATCAATTCAATTCTTCTTTTCTAATGTAATCTTGTGGCAATGATCTCCATACAGATGAGTAAAACTGACTGAAATATAGACTTGTTACTAAGAGCTCTTCAAATTTTCAAGTTAAAAGACAAATTCATCTGTATCTTGATATTCTGATTTCAAATCCATGTCATCTTCCTCGTCTAAACGTTTCCACCATGGTAGTTTTATTTTACGTAATGTTTCCAGATGATTTACTCTAGCTTTAGTAGCTATTGGTACTGATCTACTAGTGTACATTTCAGCATCTTTTTCTGTGATATCTTTTAATTTTGGTGCCACTGCAAGGTAAAAAAGATACACTAAATTAGAAACAATATAAATATTACAGAGATTTTGAGTGCTCTACATCATATCAACAAATTTAGTCTTACTAAATACAGACATTGTATGAACAATTTTAGTTTTACTAAATGATTTACTGAAGACATATCAACAAATTTAGTCTTACTAAATTATTAAATACAGAAATTGTATCAACAAATTCAGTCTTCCTAAATGATTGAGTACAAACATCATATCAATAATTTAAGTCTTATTAAATGATATACTATGTACAGATATCATATCAACAAATTTAGTCTTACTAAATGATTAAGTAGGCTTACAGACATTATATTAGTCTTACTAAATGATTAAAATACAGACATAGTATCAACAATTTTAATCTTACTAAATGATTTATTATAGGCATATCAACAAATTAAACGATTTACTACAGACATACAAAAAAGACCTACTTAATGAATTCCCACAATTTTAGTTTTACTACATATAACATATCAACATATTTTAGTTCTACTAAATGATTTACTACAGACATCATTTCAGCAACTTTAGCCCTTTTAACTAAACTACTGCAACATAAAATACTGTTTGCCAGGCAAGGTAACATACGCCAACTACCAGCCATCAGAAATGATAACTAAGTCTTAAGTATTAATAATGAAGTTCCAAATACAAATAATAATCTTTAAAACATTTTTAAGTCAAGACAAAAACCTCTGAAACCTCATCCAATTATTTCCACTTTTGAACCTGACCAAGTTTCATAAGATTGGATACACACTGTAGCCTCAATCATGCCTACAAGCCAAATTTGACATGTTCTTACTAAGTCTAGGGCAATAACTCTGAAACCATTCATCAGATTATTACAAATTTTGAACTTAATCGTCATAAATATATACATGCATACCAAGTTTTATCAGGATCATGTACAAACTTTAGTCTCTATCGTGCCTACAAGAAATGTGAACGGAGCGACAGAGGGACAGAGGGACAGATGGCCAGACGAAAGGGCTGGGCGGGGCGGGGGTGACGGAAATATAAGTCCACATTTCCATGTGGGCATATAAAATACTTACATAACACCAGATCTGAATCTGTATCTAATCTAGCTATTAGAGCATCAATATGCTGTTGTTGTTGACGTTGAGGTTTAATACCTGAATAATGATTAGCCAGCAACTGTGCTGCTCTATTATGTATTTCTTGTAATGATTCACGATTATCTATGTGAGTCTGAAAAAAAAGAAAAGGTCTCAAATGTAAACCAAACAAACACCAGTAAAAGATACTGTACATTCTTTTCATTAATGCATGGAAAATAAAAATATTCAGTGTCTCTGATTACATTTAGAGAAGACATGGAATAGAGAGGTATAATTATATTTTCTGGTCTAAATCAAGGAAGCCACCAAGTGATTCTTGTAATACAGAACATTGAAATATGTCATACTACTTGCACAGTGATATTTTTCTATTCAATTTTACACCATCAAGTCTGAGTCATGGGAGATAACAACTAATCTACAAAACTTTTCTTTAACCAACATTGCTCAGAAAATTGATAACAGTCTAATGTTATATTCCAGGGAACTAATAGACTGATCTTTGCAACAGACTACTATACTTTCCTTCATTAACATCATACAGAAAACAGACTAAAGGGAAGTCATATCTGATATTCGCTACAGACTACAATCACGTTATTGTTTAGTCATGTGAAGTAACAACTGATTTTTTGCTACAGACTACAAATATTATTTTACAAAGTTTTAATATTGAAATAATGAATCTTACCGGATGAAGATCTCTCCATTCTTGTATTTTAGACCTTAATTCTAGTCGTCTAGCATCAGTTAAACCAGGTGGTTTTAAAGATATTGATATATTTTTATTTTTATCAGCTAATTTATCGAGCCATTTTCTTACAGTACGCTGTATTTTAATAGCTGCTTTAACTTGCATCTGTACTTCTTGTCTCCATGGTAACAGGTCTCTTTCTTTTTTTCCACGCCACAATGTTTGTATCTTTAGTGCAGCTACTGATTTTTCTTTGGCTAGGTATTCATCAACTTTGGCTGTAAAAAAAAGTAAAGTGAGCGGTCATTATAAGTCTGAGAAATGCAAATATATGTACATCTGAAAGAAAGTTATTTTCTGTGACTTTCAATCACATAGTTACCAATTTGATTTGCCACTTTCAATACAGGCTAACTGATAACTTAATAGATAGTGAGTATTTTTGTAGCCTACAAAACATTCAAGTGCTTCTGACTGAATCCTACAAAGTTTGTCCAATACCAAGACCAATGCTTTCTTAAACTTGACACAGGTCTAAATAAACTCATTCCACCACTCTTGTTTAAGAAAATACTAGTTACCAGCAGGTAAAATCTCTATAGTATGTAACTGGCGTTGATGAAATTCTCTCATAATCTTTAACCTATTTTCTTTCAACTGTCTTTCAAACTGCTGAGCTAATTTTTTCTCTTCTTGTTTCATTGTAACTTCTTTCTTTCTTAATCTTTGAATGAAAAAAAAAAAACATAGATTATCTGATCTTCGGTACCATGAAAGAAAAAAGTTATTCTACTAGATCTACTCCTAATCGACTTTATTGTGGGACTTTGCTTTCAGCAAAGTCCCAGTTTGTTATCGAATTGTCAATTCTTTTTTTTTTTTTTTTTTTTCGATTTTTACACACCTTCCTGAGCTTAGACTACAATAGTTGCAGCAACCATTCAACATTCACGAACCTTAGATATAGGCGACGATGTGCATAAATATATTTTGGATCTTTTTTGCAAAACCGGAAGTGCCACAGTTCAATATATGCAAGAATAGATAATCGGCTCTAGAAGTCGTATTTTTCGGTCGATTTTCTTTGGGTTTGCATTTTTGGAATCTACTGTTAAAATCTGAAAGAATAGCAGTTTCAAAATTTCAAAATTCGAAAATTTGTCGCAGACATTTTTTTTGCCAAATTTTGCATTTTTTTCATTTTTTTTGCTTTTTGTCTGATTAATCTGAAAAAAATTGAGCAAAGACTGTTTAAGAATGTAAACGAAATGGTACAGTCAAATTTTCAATTTCACTTCCGGTTTAAACAGGAAACGATGTTCACTTCCGGTTG